TTATTTTCCCGTTTTATGAACGAAAGCAACATGAACCAATTCCAGATAGGTACAGTTGTTGGTGTAAAATTTAACAGTGTAAAGTAGGTGAAGGAGCAGGTAGTTTTCAGCTTACTTGCTTAACATTTATCAGTAATTCTTTTTTAAAATATAAAATTTATTGGATGAATTACATTGGAGGTATGGACTGGCTTTCGAACTGAATGCCCTGGGCCCCCTTTCAAAAACCAGACAGGGTCAAAGCAAATGTTGAATTTAGTTTAAAATGGAAATAAAGTAATTAATAGAAGCTAATATGATTCTTTAATATAATAATACATACATTTGATCCCATTAGAAATTAATGATATGGCTGCTTGAGGAATGGCTTGAGGAACTTCACCCACAGCTTTTGATGGCTGCAAAAACCCTGGAAATTCAACAAGTTTTTAAAATATAGTTTCATATGTTTTGTCTATTCCATTAGGTATAACATTAAATCCCTTCATTCCTTCCCTCTTCAGTATCTGTTCATGGGACCTAGTGTACCCTTGAGAATGGAGAGGGGCACAGTTTCCTTGCATGAGGAGAGAAACCTCCAACTCTGTAGAAAGAAAGAAAGAAAGCCTTTTTGTCAAGGTAGACTTGGCTAATAAACAAATGCCATAAAGAGGAGGATTACTTTTATTATAACAGCCATAGATGAATCCTGCAAACCTGAAGACTGAATGTGTTTCCTTTCTTCCCTTTATTTTTATGTGAACTAGAAAAGATATGTCTGAGACATTTTCTCAAACAAGTTTCTTAGCCCAACTGTTGCCTCTACCTCTTTCTTTCACGTCCATTCCTTTACATCTTCCCAAATTCTCTTTTTTGAGCACAGTCATAGCCTGCTCACGTTGATGAACATCCTACTATTCAATATATATATAATTATAGCCTAATTGTTATGCTTTGAAAATTAAAATCAGTGATGTAACGTCTTAAGTGGAATATTTGTAGACAGGATAATGAGATTTTATTTGCTTTGGCTAAATAGGTCACAGTTCTTTCCATCTATTTAGCTTTTACATATATATGTTTACTTGATAAATGCAAGCAATATCTGCTGTTCACATTGATAAAGTAAAAATGATCATTAGTGTCATAAAAATCTTTAAACATTTGGACTGTGCCATCTGAAAGATTTTTTTTGTCCGAAGTTCCATCACAAGGCTAAACTAAATCAAGGTGAGTAAAATTAATAAATATATCACCCTTCATTACATTCTAGCACTGGGAAAATATATTCTAAGGTTCTGTCTTCCTTAAATATAATTGCCACAGCCATGTTCCTCACACCATGATATAATTAAAGTATAAATTTCAACAAATTTAACAAATTGAAAAACAGCAGGAGGATTGGCATAGATTTAAAAAAAGATATGTGTTGATAGCAAATGATTTCTTTCATATAATAATAATAATAATAATAATAATAATAATAATAATAATAATAATAATAATAATAATAATAATAATAATAGTAAAGTTGGAAGGGACCTTGAAGGTCATCTAGTCCAACCCCCTGCTCAGGCAGGAAACCCTATACCATTTCGGACAAATGGCTGTCCAGTCTCTTCTTAAAAACTTCCAGTGTTGGAGCATT